ATTGTGAAGCCAAAAGCTGTGTGTTTGTATGAAACAAATCCATCATTACAGTGTTTTAACTTTAAACCATTGCTTCCAGATAAAATATATATAATCCATAACAATGTTGGTTCTGAATCAGGAGAAATCCGCACAGATCAAGCTGTTAGACCCATATTTGGGTCAGAAGTGATGGTCTGAATTTAAAAACATCTTGATGGATTTGTTTCTTTCAAACACAGTTTTTGGCTTCACAAGACATTAACTGATGGACTGGAGTGGTGTAGATTACTTGTGGATTATTGTGATGTTTTTATCAGCTGTTTGGACTCTCATTCTGACGGCACCCATTCACTGCAGAGCATCCATTGGTGAGCAAGTTATGGAATGCTGAATTTCTCCAAATCTTTTTCCATGAAGAAACAAACTACGTCTACAGCTTGGATGGCCTGAGGGAGAGTACATTTTCAGCAAATTGTAATTTTTTGGGTGAACTATTCCTTCAAATGAAGCCGTCTGCATTATGGCAAGTAACCAAAGAAGAGAACTTCTGCCGGATTAGAGCAGTCCACACTTCCTGTTTGTGAAATCCTGCTTATATACTATTAGGTAAGCCAGTGAGTTCAACTTTTTCACCATTTGTTTTTCCCTTTTGTTAAAAAATGACTAATAAAAAAAGAATGCTAAATGATATCCATTATAATGAGTTAAAAGCAACACATTTCTGGTTTTGTGTCGGTGAAGTGGGGCTTGAAAAGTTTGCGAGAGTCTGGAAGACTAGAAGACGGCACATAAGGGAGCGTTTTCTTGTTATTGACTCACTGCCCTGTCATTATGTCAGTTATGTTCTCACATGAGGAAAAGTTGTTTTTTTTGTAGATTACATAGACACAAAACAATGGGATGAGACCTTTATTTAGAAATATTTAGGTTTACAAAAATAATTTAATTTACACTGGAAAGAAAACTGAAGATATTTATGTAGGAAGAGTAGTTTGGTCTTCGCCCTCTATGACACGACTCTCGGCAGTGACTTCCTGCAGTAGAATGTGAACAAAGATCACCTAAACTATCAGCATTTTTAATTTGTAAACCTGAAAATTAGATCTAAAGCAATGTACTTGTTCAAGGATTGTACTTGCATCGCAGTTCGTCTCGGCCAGTATCATCAGGCATTCCATGCGCTCCGACATTTGTGCTGTTGTCTGCTTCAGCTGAATATTTTCTTCTTCAAGCAAATTTATCCTGAGGAAGTTAAACAATGTTTTGATCGATGGATGGATTGCAAAAAGGAAACTACTGGTCAAAAGTTTGGGGTCAGTAAGAATTTTTTTGAAAGAGGTTTCTTATGCTCACAAAAGCTGAATTTATTTGTGCAATATTATATTTTAAAATGTTTTTTTTCTATGTGAATATATTTTAAAATGTAATTTATTACTATGATGCAAAGCTGAATTTTCAGCATCATTACTCCAGTCTTCAGTGTCACATGATCCTTCAGAAATCAGTATAATATGCTGATTTGCTGCTCAATAAACTATTTTTGCTGCTAAGATACTATTGTTTAGGGTTCTTTGATGAATAGAAAGTTCAAAAGAACAGCATTTGTTAGAAATCTTTTGAATTGAATAATTTCTGTTTTAAAAATCAAACTGACCCCAAACATTTTACAACGGTAGTGTACATTTACAACTAAAAGTACCTCATCTGCATGGTGGAAATCACATCCGAAGCATTTTTCTGTGCCTCTTCAAAGTCATGCAGCTGTAAAAGAAGCTCTCTGTTCTTCTGAAGCAGACTCTCATTTTCAGATGTGACCGTCTTCATCATCTGTGCCGTCTGATGAGGAGCAGGCATCATCATCATTTAAAGGTGACACAGTTTTTAATATTTTTACCCAGCCTGCCATGTTACTGTACCTTTTCCTCCTGTTTCCCCACAATAAAAACCTCTTTCTCCAGGTCTTTTATTTTTTCGTCACGCCACCCCGTCTCTCTCAGGTAAACCCCTCTGGCCCGGCTCAGCTTGTTTTTGTAGTGGATTCGCTTGTCGTTGTATTTACTGGAAAACAAAATAGAGGAAATAATGAAGAATCTCTTCCAAACTTGTTACTTTTAATCACTCAAGTAAGCATTTTAAATTCTTTAGTGTTCTCTCAGAACTCTCTGCAGTGTAACACTGAGATACTAATATCGTTTTTTTTTTATATATACTGTATATATATTTTTGTTTTAGTCCTTTGTCATTTTTATTAGTTTTATATACTGTATATATATATGTCTATATAGTTTTTATTAATTTTTATTTCAGTTTTAGTTATTTTAGTACATCAAGTTCAACTAAATTAAAAGAGAAATGTTGCCTTAATAGTTTAAGGGTTTTTCAGTTAATGTTTATTTTATTTCAAGTAACACATTTTTTTTTTCTTTTTATGGTTTTAGTTTTCATTAACTGTAATAACCCTGGACCTCTGTACCTTCTCTCAGCATCCACTCTGACTAGAGCTAGCTGAAGTTCTGTCCTCAGAGAGTCGGTCTCCTGTTGATTGCTGGTTAGTCTGTTCCTCAAGTCTTCAATGTTTTGTTGGAGCTGCTCGTACAGCAAACAAAAATCATTTTGAATTAGTACATGACTAAATGTTAATATTAGTATATACAACCTAATATTGCAGTCTATTGACTAAAGAACATTCCGGATTCCCTCAGCAACACCAGTGTCCGTTCAACACCCTATATAGAAGGT